TTGGAAATGTTGCGTGCCTGCAGCTTTCACTCAACAATTAAAATTATAAAAAGTACTAGTTTGTTAAAGATTTGTCTCTCTTAATATGACAGCAAAGAACTAAACTTCATAAAGTAATTAGCTACAATTACCATGACTACGCTGTAAAGCAGACTTTTCCATGATGCACACACTAACCACGCAATTCATGGGAGCGAGACTACATAGAACAACAAAGCCGGCCCCCAGCATGCAAATGACAAAAACGAATGACGATTGTGGCAGCGGCAGCACGATGCATAACGTTCATATGCTCAATGCAAGAGGATGATTAATTATGATATTTCTGATAGAGGTTTGAAATATTTTCGGAAGCCTAAAACGTGAACAAATTATTTTGTTACTCTGACATGGCTGATTTCAAAATAAATATTTATATGCGAATTCATGAAAAGCGTTTAAAATATATTGAATGATGTTCATTTATATCTATAGGTAGGAGTAAACAATTACGAATCGATTTATTATACTTTAAATAAGAATCTTTGCAATGAAACATCTGGATGATGTGTCTACCACAATATTTGTACAGTGGTATCAAGAGTCAAAGCCGTCAACCGATCATTGGATAGCCACAAATATGTAGCATCGTTCTACCTATTAGGCTATTACGGTCAATAGAACCTAAATAAACTCAGTTTATCGAAAGGACAAAAAGCTTATATCAAGCTTACGTGGTAGTAATGGAGTCCAACTAATCATTCGTGATTTGTATACTTAGTGCAAGAGAATGAATAATTATGTTGTTTCTGATCAAACGAACAAAAACTTTTTCTGTTTCTGATCAAACGAACAAAAACTTCTGATCGAACTTTTTATATAATGGAATAGTTTCCCATTTTAAACAACGAACATTTTCTAGAAGACACAAAACGTTCAAAAACGTGGGATGGCAGACAAAATCATTCAGAATTTGAAGTGAATTTATTAAGATAAATTCAACATAATAGGGCAAAAATGGAAAAAATTCAAATCTGGAACGTATAAATGGGTTAAAAAACTTTTTAGCATTTAAATCTCAGAATGGAATGTGAATCAAATCTATTTATTGTGAAATCAAACAAGACACAACCAAAACAAAAGCGTGTGTGACGGCGTCCTGTAATACGTAAAGATAGGAAGTATGATGTGAATGTATGCAGTGAAAAAGTAGAAGTTTATCTCATAGTTTTGTGTGAAATCGAAAACTTTGTTGGTCTTGTCCAATTGTGAAAATTTTTTACAAATGTGGATGTGTTTTTTTTTTATTTTAGAACGTATACATTGCAAAAATTTGTCTACTACCCTACAGATAGACGACTAGTTAACTTAATTGAGGCGTTGCCAACACAGGATTGGATGTCGAACCATACGCAATTTCGGAAGTGCGGCAGTTTCTAATGGGCTCAGTTTATCAATTTTCATTGCAGTGAAAGGTGATGTGTAACGCGGTGCTAGCCTGGTAGGGTTAATTTTTTGATACGTTTTCTTATATTGGCATGAGAATATATTACCTATACAGAATTCCACACTGATGGCATGTCCATTGATAAGGTAATATCACATCAATAATACAGTAATGTATGGGTATGGTAATATATCAATGAAGGAATAAAGAGAAAATCTCATAAAATTTCATATATTCTACATCCACATCATCTTCAAAGGAAGAGGAAAACTTCAGAGTACTGTTAGTAATGATTGAGTACACTCTGCATGCTTCAAACATTTTGAAACTAAGTTTTGTTTCAAGTGTCCCTTATCCACTGTTCCCAGGGCCAGGGCCCCAGGGGTAATTACTAATTAGGGAGGCTTTTATTTTGCATCTGGCTCCTTACAGATAGTGGCAAATAGAATTTTTTCAGAGATACTATACAATAGCCTTGGCCTGCCCCTTGCAAAAATCTTTAAAATGAGCCCAAACTTGTTTATGAAATGTTTCATGGTAAGAACTTAACAAGTTATTAACAAAAAAAGGCTCAAAACTGTCCCTTATTACCTCATTTGTTAGTATCTTGCAATTTAAAAAATGACAGGAATGCTCTAGTTGTGGTTAGAATTTTGGAATTGGAATTTTCTATTCATGAATAAAATCTCATTTGCAAAGCAACAATTTTTTAATACATTTAGATATTTGTCACCTGATCTCATACATTTTTGTTACAATTAGATAAGAGATAATTCATTTACCAGGAATCTTGCTGCTCCAAAAATTGCAGAAATACTCTGGTACTGCTTGAAAGTTAGGTATATATAGATATATTCCATAGCTGCCTATTGGTAGACCTGGATACAGGATTATGGTTTCTTGTCATGGATAGCATAGTTTAAAATTTTTATCACAAAGATATGGTTCCTAGGTCCAATTTTTTTCTGTGTATTATTAAAAATTTGTTGCCAGAACATAGTGACAAATTAGAAACTTTTGTCAGTTCACATAGAAGTATCATGGATACATTAACATACCATCAACTGGGGTGACTTCGGCGGCCGGGATGACTTCGGCGGCCAGGGTGACATCGGCGGCCAGGGTGACTTTGGCCACATTTTTTATTTTGTTTTGCAAACAAAAGCATGGTCATAAACAATGGCCAAAGTCATCCGGCGTTTATGACCTCGTTTACCACCCTGGCATTTCTGACCCCGGCATTTATGACCCCGTTTTTGTTTGCAAAACAAAATCAAAAATGCGCCAAAGTCACCCAAAGTCGCCCTAGACTTCATTTGGCGACCGACTCAAAAATGAGCCAAAGTCGTTTTGGCGCCCGACTCACGGGCGCCTAAATCGCCCGAAAACGCGCCGAAGTCCCCCGGCAGCCAAAGTCACCCCAGTTGACTGTACACAGGGTTGGCGATTTTTTTGATTTTTTTAAAAAAATCAAAAAAATCAAAAATCAATGATTTTTTTTATTTTTTCATGATTTTTTTGATTTATTTGATTTTTTTGATTTTTTCAACTTTTTTGTCTTTTT